TTCTGGGGGTGCCCTGGGGTTGCGCAGCTGCCTAATGCTATACTGGCTAGCTCTTCTTCTGGGAGGCATAATGGAACCTGAACCCCTGACCTCTGGCTCCACAGCAATGTGTCCAGTTTACTGGACTATCCAGCTAGCTCAACAAGAGTCACGCACTTATAAATTGTAGCATCCTGACGATCCAGGGATAGCAAATAGAGATCGATAAATGGTATGCTGGCACAAAATTCTTCCAAGATCACAGGATCTGAGTGAAGCAAGGTTTTTTTAAATTCTTCCACCATTTCGTCAAAGGTTTGATATTCAGTTGATTTCTGTTGTGAAAAGATAGTAAGTGTGAATACAAGCACTCCGACACTTAAATCCAGACCATGCTCAGCACTTTCCAGAAATCATACATAACATGCACTGGTAAGAGATTATTCTTGAAGTTATTATACTCACAGAAGCCACAGGCAGATTATGATTTGCTTATGTTATTCAAAACGTTTCTGAGATTTAAATAGAGTACCATACGGGAAGTGCCTTCAAAACTGTATCAGATTTGTCCAGTTTCCACCACTCCAGAATGTGTTAGGGAATGGCCATAGAGAACTAAGAAGTGATCATTACCATGTTTTTTAAGTAGTGTCAATATATGGGTTTCACAGTAAACCCACAAAACTAAGGAAGCAGTAGTGCAAACAAAGGAGGCACCTGTCCTGAGTACCACAGAAGAACTGGAGACCCTTGAAACTAAGAGGCTTGACGACCCACAAAGTGATACCAACATTGGTGGGCTGTGAGACAACACATCCATTTCCAAGAGCTCCACAGTCCCTATAGATCAGTGGTTCCCAAACTTAGGTCCCAGATTTTCTTAGAATGCAATGTCCAGAAACCCTGGCCAGCAGAGTTGGTGGTGAAGGCTTCTGAGGATCCAAGGTTGGGAATTATGGCTATAGGTAATGCACCAGTGCCAGCAGTATACCTAGCATGAATTGTTTGAGGGACAGAGGATTGTTAAACTCCATGCCAAAGGTCTGTTGCTTTCAAGCAAGGGTAGGAAGCTTTCTTAGATCTGAGGACCAGTGTTCCCTTCTCTGGAGCTGTCTTGGGCCACACCCTTTCAAAAAATGTGAGACTTTTCCTAATTTGGAAGTGACCAAAAGTCCACTTCTGGGGGGGGGGGTGTTGGGGGAAAAAACCCCCCCTGGCTTAAGAAAAGTCTTTATACTACAGTGTACACCCTGCACAATTCCTAGAGGCTTCTATGTGAGCCACCACTATTTTTTGGTGGCTCACATTTTCCTTCAGGGGGACAGTAAATCCTTGAAGATGCCAGCACCCCAAAAAAACAGGGAAGGGGCCATATGCACTGGATGCATGAGGGCCCTTCCTCCACATTTGAACCAGAGGCCACATGGCCCCTAGCTCCTTTTTAAGGTTTTTTATTTTCTAGAAAGAGGTGGAGACCTTGAGATACAGCCCGGTTCACTCACCAGGCTCCGTGTGGTGTGTGCATCCATCATTGGTAACATGGAGCCATTCACAGAAGTTGCCCTGCTGGCACTCCCCCACCTCTCTGCACAGCCAACCACTCAGCAGTGATTGGGCAGACTCTTCTTCCTGCCTCCTCACCAGAATGGTCAGTGGTGCAGAGAGGCAGGGAAGCGTTGGCCGGGCTACTTCTGCGATTGGCACGATGTTACCAATGATGCACGCATGCGCCACACAAAGTGATGAGTGGACAGGGCTGGTTCTGGGGGAAGGGAATGAACCTCCATGGTACCTGTGGTGCTGAGTTTCCATCTAATCCATAGTATTATTTATTTATTTATTTATTTATTTTGGACTTATTATGAAGAGTGAAGGTTAATTGATATACTGTATAGCTATTTACAACAACAAAACCTGTGCCCTTCAGAAAACAGCATAAAGTACAGCGCTAACTTGCTGACTGAGCAGTTCATTCACTTCTTCCTGTTGCCTTCGTGTAGGTCTGGGTTTGTCACATTGATTTCCTACTTTATAGGGAAAATTCCTTAACCAAGTAGCTATCAAGAGTGTGTAGTCCTATCTCAAATTTTCTTTCTTTGCACACAAAGGCTGAAATCCAGTAGTAAGTTGCAACTAGAGTAGACCCGTGGAATCAATGCAATTTACAGAGGAGTTGGCTCACCAAATCCCCATTGATTTAATAGAATTTATCCAGTTGCAATTTAAAGCCTAATCCCACTGACAATAAAAACTGGCTTTAACTTGGGGATTCCTGGGCAGGGGGAAAGTTATATTTTGCCATACACACGAGGTAGGTTCACACGCACATTGGGATCAAGTTACTGTAATTACAGTGGCAGGAGGGTTTTCTGCTCTTCCACCAGAGGTCCGTTTATTTTGAAGCAGATGTGGAATCAATTCATTGAAGTCAATTCCACATCTGAATGCCTCTCTACTACAGGATTTCATTCAGAGAAAGTAAAATGTGAAAAGGGCTGTTCTATTTTCCCTTGAACATGGGATTGACTTTGCAATCTATTCGGGGGGGGTGGTTGTAGGATCAGTGAAATTCCCCCATTTAGAAATGGATCTTAGTAAACTGCGTATCATGAGATACAAAGGAGAGAAATAAACATCTGAATGCCTCTCTACTACAGGATTTCATTCAGAGAAAGTAAAATGTGAAAAGGGCTGTTCTATTTTCCCTTGAACATGGGATTGACTTTGCAATCTATTCGGGGGGGGTGGTTGTAGGATCAGTGAAATTCCCCCATTTAGAAATGGATCTTAGTAAACTGCGTATCATGAGATACAAAGGAGAGAAATAAATGCAGCAGATCACATACTGCTGCCCATATACTCATTCTTGTTTCCATGACTTGAGGTGATATGAATAGTGAAGCAAGTGAGCAGGACCTTGGAAGGATCTTTAAACCACCAAGATTCTTACTGTGCTAATTTCCCAGAATGTAGTCAATTTAGAAGTAAATAGAAAATATCACAAAAACCAATAGTATTAGTCTATCAATAAACTCACTTCAGCCAATCCTACCACCAGATAATCATTGCACCAAATATAAACAAGTGAAAACAAAGACATAGCCTCTCACACAAATCCAGTCAATACATTATATTAGGAGGTTGTGCCAAAGACAGTTACAAGAGTCTGGTGGAAAATGTGTCTCATGGTTGTTATTAATATTATCAATAAAATGAAACCACATATTGAAAAAATCATTCTGAGTGTGTGGTTGTTTAACTGATCTAATCTGATAAGTTAATTTTTCCATTAAGGCCATATGCCAAATTCTATTTCTCCATGTGTGTAAGATAAAATTACAATTTCTTTTCCAATTGGCAGCACACTCCATTCATCCTGCCAAACAGATAATCAATTGTTTGTAAACTAGTAGTTCACTGTCTCCAGGAATGGACAGACAAGCCAAGTTTAGTGATTTTTTTTTAAAAAAAATGTTTATTATTTATTTTGTCCTGAACATAATTCTGTTCCTGTAATGACTACAGACTAGATCATCTGGGCTGAAAGGAGCACCCACCACAGGTGACAATAAGAGCCACTATTCCCACAGTTTCTCCAAACACGTGAATTCATTTCTCAATTAATAGATTATTAGATAAAGCGCTACTTTCAATCAAGATCCACCACAAGGTATATAAAATCTTTTTACATGTTTAAAAATATACAAAATAAATTAAAATGCAGTCAGATAAAAGTTAATAGCACATAAATAAAAAGTATTTACTATAAAACATTTAAGAGGTCAGCAGGCATTAGAAGCCTAGGAAACAAACTTTTCTGCCAGTCACTTTCAAGATATTAAGGTGGGTGTCAGGCAAGCGTTTCTGGGGAGAACACTGCAGCCTTTGGGCTCCGCTAGAGACAGGTACTTAGCAATCTTTGGGCCAATTCATTTCTGGCTATGCCTTTCACATTTCATTCATTACTGCCTCTTTCCCCTCAAAATTCTGTCCCATTCTTTTTTATTATTATTAGTTTCATTTCAAGGGATGGAGACCAGGCCTGCCTTTTGATGCTTTTAACTTTGGAGGCTTCCTTTCAAGTGGCACGAAATGTCTAGTGGTGATAGTGCTTCCACATAAGGCAGTGCCCACCCACTTCCCACAGGAATTTTTCTGGGCTAGATGACAAATCTGAAATGTGAAGGAAAGGCACTCAACAAAGAAAGGCTGCCCAGGTGAGTCCCAAAAGCACCCGTTTCACTGAAAGCAAACTAGTCAAGCTAAGAGACAAGAAATGAGAAAAGAAATGGAAGTATGAGGGGTAGGAACATAAACGCATTCACTTGAATCCAGTTTTTGGCTCCAACCCAGCACCCATTCCACAAATAAAAACACAGAAACACACAAAGCACCTCCTCGTTCTCTAGAGACAACCTTGCTGCATTTCCTGGTTTTAAGCAGGGATGAGAATTCGAATTGTGGGACTCACTGTCAAGTCATACCGGTGACTCAACTCAGACTTGACTCCGTTGTTCGTTTGTTTTTTTCAATGACTCTGACTTGACTGTGTGAAATAAGACTGCAGGGGGAGCTTATTTTTAAAAGGGACTCAGACTTTGGCGCCAAAGACTGGCCAACATCCCTGGATCTAAGTGCCATTCCCGGCTGCCTTCTCTAGCTCCTCCTGACTTTTCTGAAGCATCCCAGTCTCCTAGCCCCCACCCCATCTCAATAGCTCTCCCATCTTGTGCTAGCTATCCAGAGCTATGTCTCAGCTGAGGCACCTGAAATACAGGGAATGGGGCATTTACTCAGAAAGAACCGGTATTGGCTTTAGCAAACAAGAAGTATCAAGACACCATTTTCTCTAACTCTGCAACAGCAGAATTTCAGTCACCAGTCACACATTCCGATGCATGCTTTCCCCTCTTCTTCTTTACTAAATGACAGTTGCCAAATAAATAGTCTTGAAAAGAGAGAAAAATTTCTCTGTGTTGCTAAAAAGACAACTTACCTGAATGTCCATAATGACAACTCCAATAAACATGTTGAAAAACACAAAAAATCCTAAGAGAATAAACACAATTGTGAACGTTCGGCTTGTAACAAATTTTTTGTTGTCCAGGTCATCCTGCAGGTCTGTCCAGCCATCAACCTGAAAATTCAGTAGATCCGTCATAAGACTCTATGGAAACATTTGTCATGAATTATATAGGTTAAGCCCATAATGCAATAAGGTCCCATCCCTCAGCAATAGATCCATGTATTCCTACTGATGCATACAAATTGAAATCATTACCTTGTTTTGTATTAATTTTAAAAATAATTACTGTCTCTTTAAATCTTGCCTATATTGCTAATTCTATTTTGCCCATGTTTGTTTTATCTGTCTACTTCTGCTCCTCACTGTTTCCAGAGGTAACTTTAGAGAGGATAAGGCTAATCAATGACTATTAGGCAGAAATCAAGTGGTCTCCTCCAGGATCAGAGGAAGCCTACCTCTGAATGTCAGTCAGAGGGGGAATGACAGTGAGCAAGGGACATTGCCCAGGTGATATCTAGGTGGGCTTCCCTAGGTGGGGTCTGGCTGACCACTGCCAGGATACTGGACCACAGAGGCTCTTCTTTTTTCTTAGGGTTGTTCCTGCCAAAGCTTAGAAAATTGCTCTTTAAGAGGAATCAGTGGCAATGATAGTTTCAAGATAGTGACAAAGATAGTAACAAAAAATAGAGTAAATCTGGTTTCCTGTTTCTCAAAAGTAACTAAACAGAGTTTAAAAAATAAAAACCAAAGTACTGTAGGTCACCAGTCTGTGGCACAAAACCCACTCTTTTCCCATTTCTCTCATCATTGCCTCAAAATTTACTTCAGAGCACAAGGCTGTATGTAGCAAAGGGACCAGCAAGAGCCAGCAACTGAGTGCTGTGATAGTCTTCCTTCACTGTTGAGGGATGATACATCCCCCAAACTAGAAAAGTAGCTTTAAATGTTAATGTTATGTCATCAAAGGATGACATTATCCCTTATTAAGATGCAACAACCATAGTGTTATATAGCTATATTTTACAGCCCATCTAGCTACAGGGCCACTTCAAATCCCCACTGTGCCTCCTTGAGAGGCTGGACTCAATGATCCATAGGGTCCCTAGCAAAGATATACCCACACTTTTCAGTGATACAATGTGGTCTTCATGTGCTTTTCCCCAGAGGTCAAATTGGATGAAACACCCAGACAAAGCCGTGGCTCTGATCTAAATAAAACAACCTTGCAACTACATTTCCCATCTCAAAACAAGCAGGGTCATGGATCTCCTGGCATCTTAATCTAGAGTGACCCAAAAGAGTGTCTCTCCAAGTTAGCGTCAGTGATCCATAGAATCAACATGGAGAAAGCTGTCCTTTACTTACACATCTTTCCTCCTCACCCAGATCGGGAGTATAAGCACAAAGCTGACTGCAATTTGAAATGCTTATGAAAATTACCGTTACTAAGCTGAAGAGAGTGAAAAAGGCAGCGGCTAAGGTGCCCCAGTTCTGGTGGTCTCCATGCTCAGGGTCTCCATATAGACCATGACCCAAAATTGCAAAGATCAGCATTAACAGGAACAATAAAACAAGGACATAAATCACATTTTTTGCTGTCTGGGCCAGGGCTGCCATCAGAATCTAGAGAAGGGAAAGGAAGCAGAGAAAAGATAAAATAAAGCAAGTGAATACCAAATGATGTGACTTCATGCAAAGAAAAAAGTTTTCTTAAATGAAAACAATGGAGTAAGAAGTCGAGTCAGAGATGTGCTTTGCCATCCCATGTAGAGATGTCTCAGAAGGTAGCCATCAAAGAGAGAGAGAACTGGCATGCCTGAGATCCACTACAGGTGGACATTATAGCTTTAGGAACCAACAAGATATATGCACAGCATCCATTTTGCATGACTTCAAATTGTATGAAAAGGATTCTTTACCCAGCCTTTTCCCACTCCCAATTGTGTTTATATTCAAATATAAGTAAATTACCTTTATTCAATAGGTTAAAGGTGCAATATTCACATCATTTGGAAATAATGGCATGCAAGTTTGTACTGTCCACAAAAGTGGATTCCTAAATGCAAAACATAATATATTTGTTACCTTTATATCCCCTATTTCCTTGAATGGGCGCAAGGTGTGCATGGTTGGTGCGCATGGTTCTCCTCCCCACCTCTATTTACTACTTTATCGTTATAAGAATTCCATGAGCCCAATCAGATGTGGCTAGGGGGACAGACTGGTCTAAGAACAACGCGTAACTTCTATAAGGAATTCTAGATATAGCTCTGTGTTGGGTTGCCCTAAGGTTATCTATTCTTCAGGTAGATACTCTTAGGGTGACTTAGGTTGTCTAGTTGTCCTAAGATTATCTAAGGTTGCTCAGTCAGTTTCATGGCTTGATTAGATCTTAAACTCAAATCTCTCGAGAACAGGTTCGACAGTCTCATTGCTACACCTCACTGGCTCTCAGGATATGGGATCGGCCCAATACAGGACTCCCAATATCTGGAGTTACTGAGAGCCGTTACAAGGCCTCCTACAAGGCATAGGAACTGTCAAGGCCATGATATCCTTCATCTAAACAAAAGAGAACAGAACACCTTTGCCATACAGATGAGCATCTTATTCTGGCTTTGCACAAGCCCATTAGCCAGGAACTGACACCTGCCTAGGCCAACAAATGGATTTTGGATTTGGAGTATGAGACAGCGCTGGCAGTCACAGATGTTTATCTTAAAAGAACCAGCAGATTGTATAAGAACCCTTTTGGCATTTGCATTTGGCATCTGCATGCTTTCTGAAGTAAAAGGAAGGCAGCCAGCCCATTCTTTAGTCAGTCTCTGGAGTAATATAATACTCAAGCAGCATAGAGTCTTCTGTAGTTTTGAGTTAATAGAAATGTTTGTGATCTTGGCCAAGATCCATGACCAACAGTCTGCCTCAAGCAGTATTCCCAAGTCTGTGCTCCCATCCACTCCACTGAGAGTCTAGTGTACATTGTGATGTAATTTGTAGTGCTTTATATGAGTTCATTCTGTTTAGAGTTCTTGCCCAGTGACCCTGTGCTTTCCAGTGCTTCCTCCAGGGGCAAATTAAGCAGGAGTTATCGCACACCAATAGACCAACAAGGCCAACAGCATCTGCTTCATAATAAACACCAATGAAGCATTTCATCAACAGGGCTGGCGAAGATTCATTATGGAAGAATGGGCCTTTGAGATATTGGTGCTTCCTTTTTCTGCGCAACAACTCTATGCGAGGCGAGTGATATGGGTTAGGATGCAATATTCGGCTCCGTTCTACTGACAATTTTAAAAAAAACACTGTTGAATTGGATTCTGCTTTTTAAACCATTGATTTAAATGTTGACAAATACATGAGATACATGCACACATGGAATAATGGGTCATTTTATTTTGAGTAGCAGCAACTTTTTCACTCCTTTGCAGAAATCTGTTTATTTTAAGGTGGGTGAGGAATTGATTCATTAGAATTTATTCTGTATATGTGAACACCCCTACCCACATTATTATTTTTTTAATTTGTGCTATCTGAAAAAGAGCTATACCAAATAGCAGGACTATTTTTAAAAAAGCATTGTGGCCCGTTTGCTGAAAAAGCCAGCACCATGCCAAGCAGCTGATCCCCCGCCACCAGTCAGCCAAGCCCAGCTTTCCTTCCCTCCCCTTTCAGCCCCCACCACCTTCCTTCCCTCCTGTCCTGTTCTTCCACCAACCTCTTCTCCTTGCCCCCTCCAAATCCTTCCCACCTGCTATTTAGCCATCTGCCCCCACACCACTCCCACTCTCAACCCCCCTTTCCCCTTTCCTTCTTGTCCACCTCTCCCTCCTACATAGAGTTCTCCCTGCTGCCTCCCTTGCCTTGGCCAAGCAGAGCCACCTGCCTGGAGGCAGAGGTGGCAACGGTGAAGGCAGTGGGGGTGGTGGCGGTGAAGGCAGCAGCAGTGGCAAAGGTGGCAACGAAGGTGAAGGCAGTGGGGGCAGAGGTGGCAGTGGAGAGGAGACACACAACAACCCAAAAGTCACGTGAGTACCACATGATTTTACACTGAATTGAACCCTCTAGATTTATTTCATCAATGGAACCAGACTCAGTTAGTCCAGCTTTACTCCTGGTGCTAAACATAATGACTTGTATTCAAGGGAAAGGGGCTTTCCATTCTCACATGGAGAATGCAGAATCTATTGATTCTGCAGGGGGAAAAAAAGAATCCATGAGTATGGAAAAGCAATTTCAAGGACTGAGTGACCTTTGGGAAAGGTTCAAAATATGGTGTAGAGATCTGCATATGGGAAGAAACTGGCAGATGTTGGAGTATGCCTCTCCGTAGCTCAAACAGGAATACCTCCTACTTATGCAAGGATATCTGTAGGTTCAAGCTAGTATAAGACACCCGTTAACTTCACTCAGAGCAATGTTTTAGAGACCCTGTGTCATAGACACACTGCCCCTAGCTGTCTCCTGCTACTGCTGCTGCAGAGTGTATTTGAATACAGGAAGTATGTGGCTGGAGCCAGTGGCTTGCTGGCATTCCACCCCAGTATCCACTGATGACCATGAAAAACTGTGAAAAAATTGCTATTGATATTTGTCCTAAAAGTTAAAAAGGAAATATTTCTACAACCAAATTCTTCTTCATAACAAATGTACAACCATGAAGATTCAGGACATGATGTGAAGAAACTGCAGAGTATTTTGCAGGATCAGAAATTTGAATAGAACACATTGAGTTGATTGAGTATGTGTGCTACTTGGGTATTCTGGAAGTCTCCATTTAAAAAAAAATAACATTTTCCATTTCTAATCATTCTCTCGGCCAGACTGGCTCATCGTACCAGATCAGATACATTACACCTGAGATCTAACATCTGATCTGAAACCTAGCAGGGGAAGCTCTTCTGCCTATTCAGTGACACTGATGGCTATGGGGTTTGAGTCAGTCAATCTTTAGAACAACAAACATGTAGGGAACTGCACATCCCTAAACTCTATGGGATAGATATGGGGAGATGGGAGGAGGTGGCTCTAAATGTTTTCTTTAAACAAGAGGCATTTGCTGCCCTGAGGCAGAATAGCAAATGGTAACCTGCCCATCTATTCAAGATGCACAGCTGAATGATTTTGGCCCTCCAGGCAAACAATCCCAAAAGCACCTCACCCCTGTTGATGGAAGTAAAAATGCAATAATAGCACTAATTATTTGCTATCTTTTGACAACAAGCCCAGATCTGCTGCCTGAGACAGCCTCTCACTCTACCCAGTGGCAGAGTGTGGAAAAAAAATTTCAAAAAAATTCCTGTGGCACATCAATCCGATTATATTTTTAAACAAGGATTTAAAAATTCAGCATTTGAATTAGTGAATGACAACATTAGCAGGTTGAGTAACAATTACTATTTCTCAATTTCATTGCTTTAGTGTAGCTTAGGAGGACGTTTCCCCTTCATGGATTGCTGCTTTGTCATGGCGAAGGGGCTTGAGTATTTCAGAGAAGCTATGGGCTATGCCGTGCAGGGACACCCAAGATGGACAGGTCACAGTGGAGAGTTCTGATTAAACGCGATCCACCTGGAGTAGGAACTGGCAAGCCACTCCAGTATCTTTGCCAAGAAAACTCCATGGACAGAAACAAAAGGCTAAAAGATATGACGCTAGAAGATGGGCCCCTCAGGTCGAAAGGCATCCAACATGCTACTGAGGAAGAGCAGAGGACAAGTACAAATAGCTCCAGAGCTAATGAAGTGGTTGGACCAAAGCTGAAAGGACCCTCACCTGCGGACGTGCATGGAAGTGAAAGGAAAGTCTGATGCTGCAAAGAAAAATACTGCATAGGAACCTGGAATGTAAGATCTATGAACCTTGGGAAGCTGGAGGTGGTCAAACAGGAGATGGCAAGAATAAACACTGACATACTGGACATCAATGAACTAAAATGGACGGAAATGGGTGAATTTAATTCATATGATTATCATATCTACCATTGTGGGCAAGAATGCTGTAGAAGAAATGGAGTGGCCCTCATAATCAACAAAAGAAAAGCTGTACTGGGATACAATCTCAAAAATGATAGAATGGTTTCAATACGAATCCGAAGCAGACCTTTCAACATCACAGTAATCCAGGTTTATGCACCAACCACCAATGCTGAAGACTTACAAGAACTTCTAGAATTTACACCAAAGAAGGATGTTCTTTTCATTATAGGGGACTGGGATGCTAAAGTAAGGAGTCAAGAAATAAAAGGAAGAACAGGTAAGTTTGGCCTGGGATTTCAAAATGAAGCAGGGCAAAGGCTAATAGAGTTTTGTCAAGAGAACAAGCTGGTCATCACAAACACTCTTTTCCAACAA